CTTGAAGCCGGCTGGGTGCATTTTTGAAACAACTCTTGCAGGTGGCATGTATACTTTGACCTGTAATATAAACTCCATTCAGATATCTTCCCAAACACTTTGTGAATGATTGAAGTTGGCAATAATGGGTCCCATTGTTCACGCTCTGATCCTTCCCCTCTTTGCTGCCACAGTACCGCCATTGTTATTCTTAGCGATGTTCACACATGTTCCTTGTACCCACAGGGCTTATCACAACCATTGGGGAAAAGGGAGGGCAAATTGCCTTATTATGCCTTGTACAGGTGGATTGGGTGCCAAAGCAGATTTTATAAATCAGAGTAATGAGAGTTGCCATGTGAGCCAAAAATAGACAGAAACAATCCTGCTCGTCTTGAGACAATAGCAATAGAGGCCTTGTTATTGCACAATTGCAAAGAAAGCACCCAGTGTTTGCTAAAATGCTTGAGGCTGAGTGGATTTGGGGCTTGTCAAAAGATTCTCCTCCCTATTCTTGGCTTGGAATGCACTGCCAATTTAACATACGTTTTCTTCTTTTTAACTTTTATAGCATGTATTCATTTCTGCTTTCCCCTGCCCATAAAGATGAATGTTCACCTAGAGCAGGGGTGTCAAACTCAAGGCCCGTGGGTCAGATCCGGCCCACGAGTTGCTTAGATCTGGCCTGCGGGGCCAACCTAGAAACTGTGAAGGACCGGCCCGCAGTGCCTCTTCCATCAAAAACGGAGTTCAGGAGGGCTGCGCACAGCCCTCCCGAGCTCTGTTTTCACTGGCAGAGGGTTGCAAGAAGCTGTTGCAGTCAAAAATGGAGCTAGAGAGCCTGCTTTTGCTGGCAGGGAGCTCAGGCCACCACGAGCTCGTACCCACAACATGAGTGATGTCAAACTGGCCACACCCACCCTGGCCACGCCCATGCCAGCCCACCTGAAGTCAAGCATAACCCTGATGTGGCCCTCAATGACATCGAGTTTAACACCCCTGACCTAGAGTATTATGCTCCAGATCAATGAAAGTAGAAGCTAATGTAGACTCATTGTTGGACTCAATATCAATCTGAAGGACTCTCATCTCTATACACATAATTATAAGCCAGCTAAAATGTTGAGATGGAGCCGTGGCCCAGCATTAGTTCTTGAAGGTCACTGGGCACTCTGGCCTCAGGTCTTCCCTAATTTATCTCAGAGTTGTGGGGAATTTTCACCTCAGGCTTGATGGCCCCTTGTTAGAAGTCTTGAGCAGATATTGTTGTAGGTCTTTAACATCCAATAGTCCAAATCTGAGAACAAAAATTTAAAGCCATACAGAAAAATACCTTGCAGTGTAATATTTTTTCTGTTTCCTCTCTTATTGTCAGGGTGCTTAAAAATGGCTGTCAAGTTTCTCTTAGTGATGTTTTATTTTTTATTTTAATTTTGTGGAATAGTGACTATTTTTGCTCATTTAATGTTTTTTCTTATGTATTAACGGTGTGCAAATATTTTGTTGTGAGAAATTAATTTCAGAGTTTAGAAAGATTTTTGTTCAAAAAAACCCATCAATTTTTGCCAAATAGATGAAACTGATTTTCCATAATTATTCAAACAACAAAACTAGATTACATTGGCGCACAGAATCACAATTTCTCAACTTTGCAATTTTAAGATTGACGGGTTTCAACTGTTGGGATTCATGTCAGTGAAAACTTAGCTGGCTGGGGAATTCCGGGAGCTGAAATCCACCCATCTTAATGTTGCCAAGGCTGAGAAACACTGAAATAGAGAATATAAGCCAATCCCTGCATCTTTCTTCCAAATGCTTCAGAGATTACAGATTTAACAGAGTTGGAAGGGACCTTGTAGGTCAACCCCCACCCAAGCAGGAGGCCCTACACCATTTCTGACAAATGGCAGTCCAATCTCTTCTTGGAAAGTCTCAAGTGATGAAGCTCCCACAACTTCCGAAGGCAACTTCTGTTCCACTGGTTGATTGTTCTCACTGTCAGAAAAATTCTCCTTATTTCCAGGTTAAATCTCTCCTTGTTCAGTTTCCTTCCATTATTCCTTGTCTGGCCTACAGGTGCTTTAGAAAATAGCTTGACCCCTTCCTCTTTGTGGCAGCCCCTCAAATATTGGAAGACTGTCGAAACTTATATGTTAAAAAGAAACACATATTATGTGTTTGTGTTCTGTATGTTGTGTTCTGTTGTTGTTGTAAAATCAGTAAAAAACTTATATATATATATATAAGTTTTTACCTCCAATTTTACGCAGGAGAAAACCTGAATAACCAAAGACCTACATATATATGTATGTATGTATGTATGTATGTATGTATGTATGTATGTATGTATGTATGTATATTGGAAGACTATTATCATGTCTCCCCTGGTCCTTCTCTTCATTAAACTAGCTATGCCTAGCTGTAACCGTTCTTCATATGTTTTAGTCTCCAGTCCCCTAATCATCCTGGTTGCTCTTTTCTGCGCTTTTTCTAGAGTCTCAACATCTTTTTTATGTTTCCATCACTCTGGAGCCACCTTAGTTGCCTACTCTGCCCAGTTAGAAAAATACTCCCACAGCAACAATAACAACTTAATTAAAAAGTGAAAAGGTTGCAAATTTCTAAAGAAGGGTCATGCAGCCTTGGCCATCTCAAGCTCCATAAATCCAGGAAGAACACACTTTTTTAACAAGAATTATTTAATTTAATTATTTAATTAAGCAACATCTCTCCAGAATCTACCCAGTGTTTGTATTGTGTTGCAGAATTTTGCTGAAGTGCATATGAAGACTCCAAATCTAAAAAACACACCTATTCCAGATCAGTGAGTCTATGTTCTGAGTATGTAACCATATTTTTAAATCCATAAATCACCAAATAGAAAATGGAAAAAATGATTTTTTTCCATTTTCAGCAATAGCCTAGGAAAGGTTTTCAGTCTCATAAAAGTATTTGCTATCTTGTCCCTGGTCTGAAAGGTCACTTCTACTATTTCTGCTAACTTCATCATCTTCACAATCTATTCCTCTTCCTATTTCAGTATTTTTCCATCTTTTCTCATTTTTTCTTCTTCTTAATACCGGTAGGTGGTGTTTTTATCAATAATGCCTATCTTGATAGCAACCTTTTCATAATTCAGTTCAACAGGAGGGGCAACCTCTCTCTTTTCACGTTCTGCTGTCAGACATACAGAGGTACAGACAAACATGTCTTCCTCCTACATTGTTCCTAAGCTATGGAATTTTGGAAATAATTTTGTCTTGGAGTAATGTTCAGTCCCCATCTTTCTGCATTTAAAGAAGCATTCAAGAACTTCTTCTCAGGAGATTTTTTTCTTTTTTAAGTATTAACCATCGTGAGTCTTATGGACAGAAACTTTAAATATGTATGGGTCACTTCTGGCTATGTGGGTAATAAGTTGGATAAGGCCGGGCAGCTATGTGTTTTAATTTTATTTTTTATATTGTATATTTTATGTATTTTTTTTAATTGCAAGCCATCTAGAGTCATGTAAAAATGAGACAGACGACTATATAAATTAAATAAATAAATAATATTAGATTTTTATCCTGCCTTTATATATATAGATAGTCCTCACTTACCAACCATTGAAAATTATGACAACTTCAGAAAGGAATTTTATGACTTGTAAAACACTTCTGACTGTTGCAAAATGTCACAAGTAAATAGCCAATGTCACAAGTACACCAAATTAGTGTATTCTTATCAACTCTATTTCTATATCTATCTCTACACAGGATCTATCTATCTATCTATCTATCTATCTATCTATCTATCTATCTATCTATCTATCAGCAGCATCTGGAGGGGGTAACAAGGGGAGACGGAATGATGAAAGCAGTGCTGCACTATAAGTCCCACATATCTTTCATACATGTGCCATGATATCACTCACATGTCCAAAAGGAGTAAAGTTATGGTGCTGCTTGTGTCAGTTTAATGAAAGCAGCAAGAACCTGTGCCTGCACACGTGTAAATATCTGTTACTAAATACTCAGCAGTGGTGAAATCCAAATTTTTTTACTACTGGTTCTTGGTGGGTTTGATGTGGCTTGGTCGGCGTAGCTTGATGGGCATGGCAGGGGAAGGATACTGCAAAATCTCCATTCCCACCCCACTCCAGGGGAAGGATACTGTAAAATCCCCATTCCCTCCCCAATCCTGGGGGAAAGATATTGCAAAATCTCCATTCCCACCCCACTCTGGGGCCAGCCAGAGGTGGTATTTGCTGGTTCTCCGAACTACTCAAAATTTCTGCTACTGGTTCTCCGAACTGCTCAAACTTTCCGCTACCAGTTCTCTAGAACCTGTCAGAACCTGCTGGATTTCACTCCTGCTCGACAGGCCCAACATGTTATGTTAGCAGCATAAATTCTAAAAAGCTATCCTAATCAATCTATGATGATTTTGTTGATAATGACATTACATTTTTAATTCTTCTAACATGTGGATCTAGTTTGTTGCTTTATAGATTTTATCAAGTGGTTTAGAGTTTTCAAAAGATGAGCAACACTGAATGCTCCATATTGATGTTTGCTGGATCATTGAAATTTTTGTTTTATTTCAAGGCAACACACTAGGAAGAGTTAAAGCAGTATTGATTTAAGACCAACTCATGATCTTATCTCTGAGTTATCAGTGTGTTAATATACCAAAAGACATGTTAGATCTTAGAATGCTAATTCAAACAATTTTATCCTGAGTAGATTATTGACATATCTTCACAAACATTTTGTATTTAATCTTGTTAAGGCATGTGCTTATAGTACTGCTATTCCTTATGATTTTATTTTATATCGATGGTGTATCAAATTCTATTAAAACTGCATTATATTGTAGAAAAGACACTGGAAGTTTTAATGCCAACTAAGTTTAGACATTATATATAAAATCTCTTTTTATTTTTTAATTAATGATGGAATTAATGCATGGTATAATCAAAATACTGGTAATCTTTATCTTTTCAGTGGAATAAAATGGTGAAATGCCTGAATAAATACCTGGAAGCAATGAGAAACTGGAAAAGGACATAGGCAATAAAATATTCCAGGCTGAAATTCCCATCTTAGTTTTCCTTCAAATATTCTTGTCCTCTGAAAACAGGGACTGGTTTTCTCCTATTTCTTTAAAATCTGAAAAAGGAATAAACTTCATCAAACTTTCCAAATTTCCTTACAAGATAACAAAACAGATTCTTCCTGTTATTTTTCTTCCCTTCAAAAGATTTCTTCTAGCCCTGAATCATTAACTAGACTACTTTTTTTCCTGTTTATCTCAGGGGTGTCCAACCTTGGCAACTTTAAGGCCTAAATTCCAAAGGTACTTTTCAAAAGGCAACTGGACTTTACTTTGACTTTTCATGAAGACGTTTTGCTTCTCATTCCAGACCTCTTCTTCAGTTCTGACTGAATGGTGGGGAATGGAAAGATTTATATTCTATGCAGTCATTTGGTCATGAGCACTCTGAAGGTTGGTCATTAGTTCTCTCCTCAAGGAAAACCAAAGAAAGTCCAGTTGCCTTTTGAAAAGCATCTTTGGGACAACCATGACCTGGATGACTAAGAATCATCATAAACATTTAAGACCTGTGGACTTCAACTCTTAGAAATCCCCAGCCATCCCCAACCCATGCTGGCTGGGAAATTCTGGGAGTTGAAGTCTACAAGTCTTAAAGTTGCCAGGGTTGGACACCTTTGGTTTATCTACTGGCTGCCCTTTGGGAAAGCTTTGGAGAGATCTGGATTTTCTCAAAACATTCCAAGCAGCATTTCCAGTGAGACTATAGGGAAAATCCAATATTGTCCTCCCTGACCATATTTCCCAAAACATTATGATAGCATCCTGATGAATTACGATGTGATTTCATTCCCAAGGTATTTAAAGAAATGTGGGTGTTTGGAAGCTGCATAGAAGAAAGCCTTCTGCCACTGTAACAAGAAGATTTTAATAAAAGGGATTCAGAAAGAATGGGAAAATCCTGAACATTGTCTTTTTCTACAGTTAAGTAGGAAAAGTGAAATTTCAAGCAAGAAAAAGGAAGAAAATAAACAAAAATAGAAAAAAAAATGACTTCCGACTTGCTTCGGTACAAGATATAAATTAAAAAATACATCAAACTCTTACTCTAAGATTAACCTATGTCTAATTATTTCCATGAGCCTTTATAATTCTAATCACCAAATCCCAAAATAACTTTCCATTACTTTCAGTGGGTGGGTTTTTTTTGTTTTTTTTTTGCGAACAGCCCAAAAAATGGTTTCTAAATAAAAATAAAATTCATCAAAGTCTTTGTCAATTTTTCCATTTCCGACAATCCCACCAGCTTCACCATCCATTCTTCCATTGTAGGTATTTGTAAATCCTTCCACATCTGAGAATATAAAAGTCTTGCTGCTATAATCATATATAAAAAGAAAACTCCATAAAGTTAAGCCCAAAAGGAAGGCCTCTGGTTTCAACTGTACATTCACTTTTAAAATCTTCTGCATCAAAATACATACTTAATCCCACATTTTCTAGCTTTGTTACATGTCTGCCAAAGATAAAAAAAAAAGTTCATTCAAATATTTCCAAAAAAATATTTTAAATTCCTTTATACATTTCTGAGAATTTATCTGGCGTCATATACCAATAATACATTTATAAAAATTCTATTTAGGATTATAATTCAGTGTAAATTTCAACCCTTTCTCCCACATACTCTCCCATTAGTCCAACTGTTGTTGTTGTTATTAGTTGCGAAGTTGTATCCGACCCATCGCTACCCTATGGACCAGTGGTGGGTTCCTCCCGGTTCGGTCCGGTTCGGCCGAGCCGGTAGCGGTGACGATATGACGTCACCGAACCGGTTCTCCCCCCGCCCTCCCACCCCCCACCCCCCCACATTATTCTTACCTTTTATTTGGTCCCACCCCCAATCTATTGCTGCCTCCTGAGTCCCAGCTGATGACTAGAGGGAAAAAACCTGTTTAAACTCTTGCCGCGGGGCTTCAAAGGGCCGTCCTACAGCTGATCAGTGTTAAAAGCAAACAAATGAGTCAGGTCGTAAGTGCGAGGACTGGTCGTAAGTGTGAGGACCTTCCAGAAATTACTCTGACCAGCTAGCCACGCCCACCTAGTCACATGACCTTCAAGCCACACCCACAAAATAAGCCACGCCCACAGAACCGGTAGTAAAAAAATTTAGAACCCACCCCTGCTATGGACAACGTTCCTCCAGGCCTTCCTATCCTCTACCATCCTACGGAGTCCATTTAATCTCACACCGACTGCTTCAGTGACCATCCAGCCACTTCATTCTCTGTTGTCCCCTTCTTCTTTTGCCCTCAATCATTCCCAGCTATAGGCTCTTCTCCAGTGAGTCCTTCCTTCTCATTAGGTGGCCAAAGTATTTGAGTTTCATCTTCAGGATCTGGCCTTTTAAGGAGCAGTATATTATATCTATTTTTTTTTTTGCCCATTTTATCATATAATCTTTGATTTCTCCATCCTCTGTTTCCATTTTCAATAAAAATTTATACACCTTAGCAATAATATGATCATCATTTTTATAGAGCTCTACATCAAATTCAGTTTTGCCCTATTCAGATTCATAATTCTTATTACCCAACTTAGATCTTTCCATTAGCTTAAGGAAGACAGGACTTTCCAAGTTTTCTCTTGTTTTTAAATTAAACTCACCTTGAGAAAAAAAAAATCAGCAGGTCAGCATAAGTTAACCATTTTTGTTTAGCTGTCATTTGCCTTCTAAAAATGACAATCCCCATTAAGTTTCAAGAAATTTTTTTCCACGTGTTTTTGAGAAGAACAATTATTTCATCCTTGGTTACTGGTTACCAAGAATAGTCTCTCAGTTTGCACATCTGTATTTATGAGCAAAGAAATTAGACTCTCATTTTTATGAACAAAGCCTTGGGAAGAAAGATGGATTTCTGCAATGATGGATGATTTCAGGCATCCACATGGTATGCAAATTTGGGTGGGGTGATTTTCATTCAAGTCCATTGATCTGCCCACTTATAAAGGAAGTGCACCCTGTTGCTTAGGTGTTCTGGGAAGTCCTTGATGCTCTCTGAACTTGGTTGTTTGCTTGCAGAAGGTTCATTACCCAACTAGGTAACATCATCATGGTTGATAATCAGTGCCCTGATTATGTTACCTAGCTGGGTAATGGAACATCTACAAAGCAAAGCAACCAAGTTCAGAGAGCCCTCTGCATTTATAAAAATTACTCCTGTGTTTTCAAACTGCTATTCATGTCAAAAAGTGTCATGTTTCAGATTCTGCTTTGGCAAATCCGTCCCAGTTGATGGCATTTCTCCCATTTTTATTTTTATAAACACTTTATTAAACTTTTATTACATTAAAAACATAAAAAAAATATTTCACTCAACAACAGCTAATTGTGGTGTTTTTCTTGTGACAGTAATTCATGCATTATTTACAAAAATTAAATAGTGCGTATTTACATTCTTATTTTATCTATTACTTGTACTTAATAACTATCTATCTCCAATCTATCTCCGTTCTATCCAGTTGTACCACTGTTCCCTCACATTGTAAAATATTGATATCTCTTTATCTTTTAAACTCAGCGTTTATTTGTCCATTTCTGCGCAATTCATGACCTTTTGTATAACCAGTTTCTTTGCGGATGTACAGGGCTGTTTCCAACATTGAGCACTGGCAATCCTGGCAGCGGTTAATATGTGTAGTATTAGATATTTTGTGCCCTTCACTTTTTTTTTTTTTTGAAGATCCCCAATAGGAAGAGTTCCAGTTCTAAGTCTATTTGTTTGTTAGTAATTTCTTGTAGCCAATCTTTAATTTTTAGCCAATATTTTTGAGCCTCAGGACAATTTCTCCCATTTTTAACTAGACCTCGACGCTTAACAATGTATAAATGTTTTAAAGTCTGTGAGACTTCCTCAACTTCTGCTCTAAGTTCCAAATAAAGAACATGGCCCTCCTCCTCCAATTTTGATGAAATAGAGCTTTCAGTTTTAGTTGGAAAAAAAAGTGATGAATATCATCCAGGAAAGTCCTTGCACAAGAGTGACTGCTACTGTTTTAAGGAAGCGGATGTGAACCAAGCTTTTAGGATGCCACAGTTAGAGAAAGCTCGACAAGATCTCCCGTAAATTAGAGCTGCCCATCCCCAGCTCCTCCCAGTGATGCATTATGTGCAGATATCCCTTTCCTCTCTGGAGTCCCCCGACCACTGTTCACACGATTCAATTTTGGTTTCGCCTCTGTTGTGCAAGAGTAGGACGCCAAAGAGGAAGAAAGAGATCGGGAGTGAGCAGCAGAGCTCCCATTAAGGTGGAGGAGTGAGTGAGTGAGAGGAGAACCCCTTGAAAACTTGTGCAAGTCTTGAGGAATGTGTGTGTGTGCATGTGTGTCAACAGTTTGGCATCCGGGCTTTGGGTGGAAGTGGTCTTCCTGTCAGGGGAGTGATAGGGGAAAGAAAAGAGAAGTGAAGCCCCTTGGTTCCAGGAAAGAGATGACTCTGTGTCCTGACGCCTGCGGCCTATCTCCTTCCCCTCCCTGGATACACCTCCCTCACTGCATATTATTCACTCTGACCTAATGACTGCGGCCTCTGAACACATGCTTCTTGTATGATGATGACCAACTCAGGGACAGTTTTAGAAAGAAAATTTTCTCATCCTGAATGCTTCATTTTTCTTCTTTTGGTTCAAATTAGCAACAGAGATAAATTAGACTTATTAGACTTACTGTCTAAAAGCAGGGGTGGGAAACTATGGCTGGCTCGGGAATTCTGGGAGTTGGAGTCCTCAAGTCATAAAGGGGCCATAGTTCCCCACCTCTGGTCTAAAGAGAGAAGAAAGAAACTGTGAATTTATGGTCCTCCATATCTTCCCTCTTCATCTAAGGTCCAAGAACCACTTTGCATGTTATGGTTCATGGTGTACCCCAAAGATTTCTGTGTAATTTAAAAGGCAAGTACATGATAACGTTTCCATGGAGATGCCAGGTTATAATACATGAGGCATATCCATGCTGTGACATAATGTCCATCCCTTGAAGGCCAGAGGTGGGGAACAATAGCTGCTTTATGACTTGTGACTTCCAACAAGTCCACAAGTCAGAATTTCTTGAAGTATTGCAGAAGCAAAGCAGTATGAAATCAAGTCACTTAATTGATGGTTTGTTTTGAGCACAATAAAAGCAATTTGGAAAAGAAGTTTGGAGCAATGCAGACAACCCCTGTCTAACATCTTTGTGCTTTGCCTTTAAAACCCTCAATCTCCCTATGGCGTATGAGAAGTTTGTAGCAAGCTTTATACCTACAAATGAAACCCACTGTGAAATCAACAACAATAGGAGTTCTAGGTGTCAGATGTTTCTGCAGTTCCAGGCCATGCAGGAATGGGTAATTAAATACAATCCATACTCCATATAGACTGCCTTGATCACTATGGAAAGGCCAAGGATGTTAGAATTGGAACCAGAGTATATGAACTAATCTTTCTTCTGCTATTATCCTGCTGAGCCTTAACATTGCTGCAATTTTATAGAGTGAGGGGTCCTTGGTGCTCTCTGAGCATTCTTATTTTCTTGCAGACGTTTCATTACCTAACTAGGTAACATCATCAGTGCTATTCAGGAGTGCTGTTTGCTGTCAGTTTATATTCTACTGTCTTGCCTGTCTGTGTGGGTGGGGGCAGTCTTAGATATTCTTTGGTTATTTATGATGTCTCTTTGGCCGTTTCTTGTTTGGGGTATTGCTTATTTGATTGTTGGTCTGAAGTTGACCTTGGAGTTAATCTATGCTGATCTGAGTGTTGATTACTGTTGGAGACAGTGGTGAAATCCTCCACGGTTTGCCACTGGTTTGCTGCCTGTACATGCACATGTGCACCAAATGCATGCTACGTGCGCATGTGCAGTGTGTGCCAAATGAGCACTTTGCGCAGAAAAAGGATGCTTAACAAGGTAAAGGAGAACAGCGAAGGGGGCAACAGCTGTGCCACATGATTTAGATTAGCTAGAAAGCAGGATTTCCTGCTTTCTAGCAAATATAAATTATGTGGCACAGCTAATCATTTGAAATACCGATTCAGACAAACTGGTAGCTTTTTTTTACTACCGGTTCACCCGAACTGGTAGCTTTTACCACTACCAGATCAGCAGAACCGGTGCGAACCGGTAGGATTTCACCACTGGTTGGAGAGGTGCTAGAGCTGTGATAATGAATCTATGGCATGCACATGCACGCGCTCCCTTTTTGGCACTCGGTGCTGAAAAGGTTCATCATCACTGTGCTAGAGTCTTTTTCTCTTTTGGGCTGGCTGATTGTCTCTCTTGCATAGTCTATAGATGTTGTTAATGTCTATGTGTCTATTGAAGGCTGATTTGTCAGAGTGCCAGGCTACTCTGATTTGTCAGAGTGCTAGGCTTCTAGAAATTCCCTGGCATTTTTGGATTTGGCCTGGTCTAGGATTGTCACATTTTCCCAATTGAAACTATGGTTAAATCCGTCTATATGTAGTGAAATTAAAGAATTTCCATCATGTCTTCTGACTGCCAGTTGGTGTTCATGGATGCCTTCTGCCAGTCTTCTGCCTGTTTGTTCTACATAGTGGTTATTGCAGTTCTTCTGTATTGTATGTTGTATGATGACTCCTGTTTTTTCTTCTGGGGTTTCTGGGTCTTTTGGTTTGTTTAGGATGATGAAAATTCTTTAATTTCACAATATATAGACAGATTTAACCATAGTTTCAATTGGGAAAATGTGACAATCCTAGACCAGGCCAAGTCTAAAAATGACAGGGAATTTCTAGAAGCCTGGTACTCTGACAAATCAGCCATCAACAGACACATAGACATTAATAACATCTATAAACTATGCAAAAGAGATAACCAACCAGCCCAAAAGGGAATAAAAAAGTCTCCAGCACCTCTCCACCAGCAATCAGCACTCAGATCAGCATAGATGAACTCCAAGGTCAACGTCAGACCAACAATCAAGTAAGCAATACCCCAATCAAGAAACGGCCAGAGCAGTGGTGAAATCCAA